GGGAAGCGATGTTCACTCCCAAATCAAAAGGGGAGGAAAAGCAACCAATCCGGTCCTTTGCTTAATTCAAATAGCAGGACGAGTGAAGTGGCACCAGTTGCGGAACCGAGTACTAACTCGGTCATGGAGGTTGTTGAGGCATAAAATACCCGTCCCTGAAAGTCATACAGGGTAACCTAAACCACTGCCGCAATGCACAAAACTTGTTTATACAAACTATTGTGGAGTGGAAGGTTGCCCTTGCAGTAGTCGCAGAGCCCTATGTTGTGCCTAACCATCCCCACTGGTTCGGCGATGACTTGAGCTCTGTCGCCATCTTATGGTGTTGCGGACCGGATGTCCCACCTGCACTCTATTGGAAAGGGGGCGGGGCTTTGTCGCAGTACAATGGGGCATCCTGGCCTTCGTTGGCTGCTACTTCTCTCCGAATACATCACTCACCGATTACGAAGTGTATCTGGATGAGTTGACAGATTGCGTTCGCAGGTGCCTACCTCGCCCTACGATTGTCCTAGGGAACTTTAATGCTCACGTTAGAGCATGGGGAAACCCTAGAGATAGTCCGAGGAGGGAAGCTATCATAGCATGGGCAGCAGGACTTGACCTTCGACTGCTAAATCAGGGGTGTGTTAGCACATGCGTGAGATGGCAAGGGGAGTCGGTCGTGGATCTAACATGGGCAACTTCTTCTGCAATACCGTATGTATCGGGCTGGCGAGTGGCAGAAGAAATAGTTACTCTATCGGATCATCGCCACATAGTGTTTGATATTAGACTACGCCGACAGGTTGATTTCCCCAGCCATCGTGATGGTAGCCCACCGCGACGTTGGTGTCTCAAGCGCCTTGACCGGGACATGCTTGAAACTGCCGCCATTGTTGCAACTTGGCCGGAAAATTCTGAAGATGTTCCGTCCGACCCGGAAAAGGAAGCAGACTGGTTTCGGGGTACAATGACGCAAGTCTGCGATGCATCAATGCCTCGCATCAGTCACCGCCGAAGCAGGGTTGTGTACTGGTGGTCAACAGAAATCGCTAGACTTCGCGCCGTTTGTTTGCGGTGCAGACGCCAGTACTCCAGAGCCCGGAGACGAAGAAGGGCACCGGTTGAAGAAATAGCTAGACTGTACATGGCGTACCGAGCGGCTACAAAAGCATTGCAGAGAGCAATTTCTGATGCTAAATCTCGATCATGGGCAGAACTCCTAGAAGGGCTAAACGGGAATCCATGGGGCCGTCCATATAAGATCCTGCTAGGAAAGCTCAAGCCCTGGGCACCTCCCATAACGGAAACCCTAGATCTAGCCCTATTGGGGGAAGTGGTCAACACACTTTTTCCGGCAGAGTGGTCAAGTCGCTCAGTCCACCATATTAACGCATGGGAGTGGGAGACAGAGATGGAAGTCTCTGTGTCGGAGCTAGACCGTGCTGTTAATCGCCTGAGAGCCCGGAACACTGCTCCAGGACCAGACGGAGTCCCTGGTCGGGTGTGGGTATTGGGTCTTAATATCCTATGAGAAAGATTGCGTCGGTTGTTCACCAGCTGCCTCCGATATTCCAAGTTCCCTACGGCCTGGAAGGAAGCTAAATTGGTCCTTTTAAAGAAAGAAGGCAGGGCTGCAGAATCTCCCTCTGCGTACCGTCCCATATGCCTCTTGGACGAGATTGGCAAGCTTTTCGAGAGGATACTTGCCACTCGTATTAACAGCCACCTGTCGCGCGTCGGTCCCGGTCTTGCAGAAAACCAGTTTGGTTTTAGACAGGGGCGTTCAACTATAGACGCTCGCTCCTTGTCTGAGCAGGCGGTCTCCCAGGGTGGAGTTGCATTGGCGATAAGTTTAGATATCGTCAATGCATTTAATTCAATTCCCTGGGATGCAATCAAGGGGGGACTATCACACCATCAAGTGCCCCTCTACTTGCAAGCCGTTATCGCGGACTACTTGCGCGACAGATATATTTCATACAAGGATAAAGACGGCAGGAAGATCCAGAGGGAGATCCAGCGTGGTGTTCCACAGGGGTCCGTACTAGGCCCGTTACTGTGGAACATCGCCTATGATGCAGTCCTGCGTGTCGATCTCCCTGCTAAGGTAAATGTCGTCTGTTATGCGGATGATACACTAGTTATCGCTAGCGGGAATACCTTTGAGGAGACCAAGGACCTCGCCGAGCTTGGAGTGCAAAGACTCATTGATAAGATTCACGAGCTCGGATTGGAAATAGCCCCACATAAATTCGAGGCGTTATGGTTTCGGAAGTTGCCTCGAAGCAGGGAACCACCCGATTCATACGTCCATCAGTATTCATACGTAGGTGGAACTGAAGTCAGAGTAGGAAGGTTCATGAAGTATCTGGGACTTCATCTGGACAGTCGCTGGGGCTTTGAGGAACATTTTAAGCGCCTAGTCCCCCGGATCGAGAAGGTAGCAGGTGTCATGTGCAGGATACTTCCTAATCTTGGGGGATCGATAGAGGAGGTTCGTCGCCTCTACGCAGGGGTAGTGCGATCCATTGCATTATACGGGGCGCCCGTATGGGCTAGTTGACTTGCTATTCGTCGCTGTAGATCTAAAATGTGCAGTATCCAGCGAAGAATAGCAATACGAATCATACGTGGATATAGAACTGTATCCTTCGAGGCGGCGACGATCTTGGCTCGGTTCCCACCTCTGGACGTACTTGCTGCCATGGATGCACGGGTGTATAATCGACTCCGTATCCTCCGTCAAGACGGTGGAAACGAGCCAGAAGAGGCGTTCCAACTAATTAAAAAGCGGGAACGGCAGAACGCATTAGCAACGTGGCGCGCTCGGCTCTGTGAAGAGCGTTATGCGCGCAAACGCGTTGTTGAAGCTTTCCTGCCGGTATCCGGCGTGGGAATCAGAACGCTCTACCCTAACGAGCGAAATCGGACGGGACCTCTCTCTACCAGCTGTCGTGTCGTGATGCTGAGTGGAGATACGGCATGGAGGGCCGTAGCCACCTTCTGTGAGAAGGTAATGGTCCAGAAGGAGGCTGCTGAGCGAGAGAGAGAGAGGATGGATCCCACCCGGAGGCGGGGCCGCAGACATGCTCGCGCATCTCTTCATGGCCCTTTAAATAATAATAATAATGGTTCTCCCCTACCTGCAACAGGGGCACAAAGGTCGCTGTGAAGGCAGCAGGCCGATGCAGGTACAGTCCTAAATATCTAGCACTGCGAGAATGGGGCTATCTAAGCCATACGAAGGAGGGGCCGCGGTAGTGTTCCGAAAGGAGATCCCGTGACCCCTCATTTGAGTAGCTGGCGACGCACGTTGGGTTTTAGTCGGTGAGAGTCCGACATAATCTGGGTTACCCCTCACAGGGAGCTCAGGTATCCATAATGGATATCCCCAAAAAAACAAAAAAAAGGCCGGCAAAGACTAAAAATCCGCCACTGGGTATGTTACTCTCGTGTAGAGCGTGAACTTGAACTTCCTTGAGGAATGAGGAATGTCCACCGTGAGAGGGTGACTCGTAGAGAGGGTGGCCTCTATTTAAAATCTAAAGGAGTGATTCGACAGGAAGGCGCGGAAGGTGTGCAAGGACCTGCCTTTCACGTTGAGTGCAAGCAGCTTGTAAAGCAAGCCGATGTTCCATACCTTGTCAAATACGCACATTGTAGTTCGCAGGGGCATGAAAAGATTGATTATTCAATATCATGCGCGCTCACGTGCGCGGCGTGCGGGAGAGCGGCCTCAAACTCTGAATATCTATGATTGTGAGCCGGTAGGTTTGGCAAACCCATTGATGCACCACGTCGGGTAGGATGATTTAGGAATGGATTTTGTAGTATTACTACTATTATTATTTTACTACTATTACTACTTATATAGTATTATTCTTTCCTGTTCTAGCTATTATAACTATTATATATATTATAGCTATTATTATATATTTAAGTATATTAATTTTACAATGTTTCATTATTATTTATTTCTCAAAATTGTGAGTCTTTGTTTCTTAACGAAATAAATTATTGATTAATTCATTACTAAAAAGAACATTTTTAATTATTAGTTCTTTGGCCGTTAACGAACAGCAGCTTCGCTGTTCTTTCCTTAGTCCGTGAGTCGTTCATCCGCGTACCTGTTCCAAAGAAGCTGTCAAAACCTGGCTACCAGCGCCACTGCGCAATACACTTTACAAATAAAAATGGTTTTTTTTCTGTTTCTGGCATTTTGTTATTCTTTATGCCATAATAATAAAAATGTTATATAATACATTGTTGTCGTATTAAATAGTTGACATCATGGGTTCTGGACAAATACCGTAAAATATTAATAAATATGAGAAGATTGCTATTTAGTTTTTGATTGTAATTTTGACTTTTTTTGATTTGGAAATATCGAGGTCGACTGTAGGATCCGTATTATTTTAATAAATATCGATACATCAATATATCAATATTGTTTTTCAGTTCAGAAATCCTTCATTTTATTTTTATTGCCAAATACTTCTGCACAACTTGTATATACAATTTTTTTTATATTACATTATATAGAGTGTAAATGGGTATATATAACTAATTGTATGTATTTATTTACATATGAATACATTAGTATATACATATACTTTTTAGTATTTATTATATTTATACTATAAATATCAGTGTTTTCTTTTTTTGACATCTTTTTGGGCACCTTGACTAATTTTCTATGCACCGACCGACCCAAGGTTGAGTGGGAGATAGTGCCAGTGAGATTTCGATATTGAATATTTTAAATTTTATTCTCACATTGCAGGTGAGGTTAACAATAAAAAAAATTGATATATCGAATCAACATATATTTATCAAGAATATCGATATATTAAATCAGATATATCGATATTTTTCGACATCCCTAATAAAATATATTGTTTTTGGTTTTTAGATGTGTACTTGTAAAGACTTGCATTAGTTTATTACAAATAGTTATTTCCTATTTTCCAATAAAACATATGTTTCTTTTGCGCGCTAAAGTGTGTTAGATAACAATGGCTGAAGATCTAAGAAATTATAAATTGCAGTTACAACAGGTAATTATGACAGTTTACGTTGGATGTATTATTATTTTACACTACTTGAGATTTATTATTTTTATGTAATTTTAAGGTGGAAGCGGCTCTACTGACTGACCCAGAAAATGAAGAACTTCTCAAATTAAAGGCTGATTTAGAAGAAGTAATTGAGTTGACACAAGATCTAATTAAAACTCAAGAGGGTGACACCAAAGTTCATGATATTCATAGTTCTAGTAATAATGATGATGTTCCAGCTTCCCCGCTGCCTGATGACGACGATACGTCCTTGAGTAATCCAGCTTCCAAGTGGCATGTCGGTGAGAAGTGCCTGGCTAAATGGAAAGCAGATGGCATGTTCGTATATAATTTATATGTATACAGATAAAAAAAAAAATTTTTGAAATATATTTGTACATCGCGCATTTTTCATGTTTTTAAATCATGCTAGTTTGTGAAATACCACACTTCATATCACACTATTCTTATATCCAACATCACATTTAAGTGACAAAAACATTAGTTTTGCACTAGATTACTTAGTACAAGATAATATATATGTATCGCCATTGCTTCCTATTCCTGTTTTATCTTTGTTTTCTCCATCAAATTTTCTCCTAAATATTTTGTTTACATTAAAACAACATTTTCAAGTTGCAACATCATATCTTAAGCACTTAGTTTTTCATTTGATGCATAGCTTTCGATAGAGAACTTTAAAATTCACTTTCTCTGTTGCTATTTTATGTGAAATATAATGTTAAATCTTATTTCTGATTATATTTAATGTTACTACTATAATTTTTTTAGGTTTTATGATGCAGTCATTGAAGAAATTGGTATTGATAGTATGAAGGTAAAATTTGATGGGTATACAACATTAGAAATAGTGTCCTTTCAGGATGTTAAATGTGCAAACTTGGGTGTCAAGAGGCCTCTTAGTGGCGATGAAAGCAAGTAAGTGTTTCTATATATTATTATCTTAAATTGACCATCAGTTTAGTTTTGAATCTAAATATGTAAAGACATGCAATTTCCACACTAGTTATTTTATGCATATAAATATATAGTACCCAGGGACCCGGAGGTTTTTTTTTTGGTAAATCGTGTATTTTGAAAATTACATTTAGATACAAATTACTGAGTAATGAAATATGCCTAATATTTTCCGATCTTACCGACGTAATAATAAGAAAATATGAACTGATGTTTTTCATAAAAGTAAGAACTTTTAAAAAAAAGGGAAAAAAATAACAAAGTAACAAATCGACAAAAAATTAAAAATAAAGAAAGCAATGATCTGGAATCGAAAAAAAAGTAAAAAAATTAATGTGTAAATGATCGTGAGGCGAACCATGGCCGTCTGTTTTGAGGCCGCCCGATTACCGACCGAGCTATTATGACATTTTCTCTTGCGGCGAAATTTACTGTTATATTCGAATGATATTTTTCATTCCCTGAAAACAGAGATAAAAGGACATTTTCTAAAAATGAAACCTAGCTAGATCGATTTTTCGCCCCCGAATCTATGCACATACTAAATTTCATGAAAATCGCTGGAGCCGTTTCCGAGATTCCGATTATATATATATATATAAGAATTGCTCGTTTAAAGGATAAGATACATATATATTTATATATATATACATACAGTGTGTCAATACAGCGACAATAAATGAACACACATATAGAGGATAACTTTTTAAAATTGTATTAAGCATTTACATTCTTTAAACATCAATATTTACCAAGTTATTAAATTTTGCAAAACATACATTTTTAGAACATCTTTATATATAAAACTGTTATGTAAAGTTCATTTGTGAAGGTCACAAAGCATATGAATAGGTTCAATGAATTTAAAAGAGATAAATATACTGTTAGAAGGAGAGACTTGTAAATCGATGTTGTGGCAACAAATGAAAAAGTTTCTAAATGTATGAATCAGTCAATTGTAGTGGTATAGGATGTTACAAATTTTGTTTCTTTTTTATTTAATTAGTTTGTTTGATAAATATATTTTTTTAATTATGGATTTTTTTAACGTTTTTTTTAATGATTATTGGGGAGTGTTAGACATGTGTTCATTTATTGTTGCTGTTGTAATGACATACTAGAAGCATAAATAAATACAAAAGCTATAACATCTTGAATGGGTTTGATTATGATTATCATGGATAAAAGGACAAAATTTTTAAGTTTCACTATCGAAGAACAAAAAGTAGTCCTGTCGCAGGAAATGCAAGTCTATGGCTTGTACTAAATCTAGTCTATAACTTGTACAACAGAATAGTCATTAATTCAATTTTATTACATATGTGATTATACAAAATAACATTAATTCTAAAATTTTTAGTATGACTTATTAATTCCAATACATTTTCAGACATGGTAAGGGATATAATCGAGAATATCTTAAAAAGAAAAAACAAAAGAAGCAACAGAGATTTAAACAGATTGAAGAGGAAAGAGAAAGTGAAAAAAACAAATGGCTCTCATTTCATTCAAAAGCATCGAAAAAACCTGGAGTGCGTACAAAGAGCATATTTGCATCCCCTGACAATTTGTCTGGTAGAGTTGGAATAGGGACTTGTGGAATATCTGGTAAACCTATGACTGAGTATACACCTGGTGAAAAGTGGAAGAAAGGTGGATAAAATAAGTATATTTCACAAACAAATAGTGTAATTTAATATAAGTTAGGTATTCATTCAAAATAAAGATTATTGATTTTTTTTCTTTCATTATTCTTATAATAAATATTAAATGTAGGTACATTGACTGTCATGTTGCCATAAACCATTTACATCTAGAATGATCGAATGAATCACTTGCGGTACATATGAATACTTATTCCATCGATCTGACCTATGCCTGAGCTTGGTAACTGATCTTAACAAACTATTGTATAAATATTTTCCACCCAACATATTAATACTGATAAATGTGATATCTTTTGAAGTAAACAGTTACTGTTCACCATTGACTTATGTTTTTTTATGTCTAGAGTGATTATCATTGTCAAAAAAATAATATATTTTACCTATATTCATGCTATCTTGTACATGTATTTTTACTTTATTCTAGAAGCTGTTCAATTTTGATTTGAGAAAATAATTATTAGATATAGTTTAAAAAAAATATATTATTACCGTAATTGTATGCTTTCTGTGATAAAATAAGTAGTATTATCACATTTTTAATACTATTTTTATATTGGATATATTACAGTTCTAAGAGCAGCCATTTAAAAATCTGGTGACTACTCTGAAATAAAATTTCTTATTAGCTCTTAAATAGTATTTAATGCTTTTATTTCTGAAGATCATATCTAATTAATGCCTTTATAATAAGATTAGTTGGTCAAAAATATTTTTGTGTTATATTTTAAGCATATAATCCATTATATTAAAAGGTAGCAATGCATCTGCAACTCAATGGGTGTTACAAATGTTCATGGGCGGCGGATGCAAGTCCGATACGACCTTTTCATTTTGTTGACGTTACGGCGTATTACAAGTGACGTTTTTATTCAGCGAAACAGGAAAAAACCAGTTCCAAAAATAACTCTTTGAACTTATCAGTAAAGCTTTGATAAGGACTATAAGAAACAAGATAGTAGATCTGTTACAAAACTGCTTTTAGTTTGTAACAGACGACGTGAATCTTCTATCTTCAACTAATCAAATTGCGGAGCGAATTTGACGCCGAACGCCAGTGCTGCACACGTCTTCAAGCGAGGGCCGTTGTGCTGCGCATATAGCCTTTGGTTTTGCTAGGCAGAAAGCAGCCCATACCACGCTGAAGCTGCATAGGTCAGATGCGACCGATTATAAGTTTTGTATATGCCTAATTAGCCCTTACCGGTAACTTGGATGCTAGACGGATGCAATCGATGACCTCGCTGTCCTGGCCTGTTGAACCGTATTAACCGATGTCAAGGAAATTGACTATTTTGATCGCTTGGCCTCGCAGCTCAAGCGTGACAATTTTGCGAATTTGCCTAGTGTTAATGGCGGATGTCTTGTCAACGTTGGCTCTCATCTTCCACATGTCAACATTCTGGCAACAGGTCTAACTGGTGCTGCATCTTCTTCGTGCCAGAAAAGGTGAAGAGCGCGCTGTCGTCAGCATGGAGGGCCAAAAGTACGTTCTCGTCCCAAACCGGGTCGGGCTCTGCTATGGTGTGAGGGATGTCGTTAGTGTAGAATGCGTACAGGAAAGGAGAGAGTGAGACAGCAGCATTCATCGCGCAAGGAGTCGAGTTGGCATCATCGACATGTACGACAAAATTCCGCCCCTTCAAATACGAATAGATTAATTTAATCAAAGGACGTGGTACACTGGTTTGTTCTATTAGTTTAAAAATTGAGCCCGTGTGCGACACCCTGTAGAAGGCCTTCTCGTTGTCGAGACGGCCCCGAGACAGAAGCGGCACACGGGTGAGTTGTGAAGTGATGGAGTGGCCTCTGCGAAAGCCGAACTGTTCCCTCCGTAATTGTACTAAGGTGACAATTCGACCGAGCAGAAGCCACTCTAAATTTTCGGCCCTGAACATTTCTTTAGATCGTATATTTAGGAATTGCTGCACCCCCAAATCGTTGTGTATGATGTCCTGAAGAGAGCGGCGTGCCCGAAAGACAATTGTTTGAGGTCCTCTTTGTCAAAGTGATCCAACTTAAAATGGAACAGCGTGCCTGGTTTATTCCGCTTTGGCGGGATGGATATGGCATAGGTAGTCGGGAGTCCCATGCTCCTAAAGGCTGCCACTATTTCATCTGGGGATGTGTATCTGGGTAGCCCGCAAATCCTCAATATCGTGGAAAGTTCGTCGTTAGGCGAGTAGCAGAACCACACGAAGGTGGAGTCTTTGGAGGTTTTCTTCCGTAAGATAGCGTTGTAAAACGCGAAACTCGGCCCCTGTTTGAGGTCGGAAGCGAACGCCTTTCTCGAATTAACAAGCATTCGGTAAATGGCCTACTTGAGATTTACGAATAGTGAATTGCTTCCTCCAGTTGGGAAAGCACTTTACGATTATTGGAGGGTAGGAGCGCTGTTGGTCGGTTGCGTGGCTGTGAATGGTCCTGCAACCGGCTCAATAGATGGTGGTGCAGATGCCATCATCGCATAGCTCGGCGTGTGGGAGGTAGTCGAGGGAGGGAGAGACACATCCTCTTGCAGGGGAGGCAACATCGCGTAGGATGCCGAGTCCGTCGCCTCACTGCTCTCTGCGCCCAGCGGTTGGCTTGCAGATGAGGTGCTCGGTAGGGGTTCATCGTCCGGGGACTGTGGCTGGTGGTGAACAAGGACCGTGGTTTGGCCCGTAGTGCCCTCTTCCGTAGATTGGGTAGCGAGTTGGGTAGAGATTGATTGTTGGAGTAGGCCCACTCCTCTGCTTCTTGTAGTCCTGGTCGTTGTCATCAGGCAACGTCTGTGAACGGGACGTTTATGGCGAGGCTGCATCGGAGTCGCGCAGACTCAACAGCAGCCCGAGTGGCCTGCTCGTGGGTGCATTCCGGTAGCGGTAGACTTACCTTCGGCTGTGGAGGTAGCTTTTCCGCCGCGGGAGCACGCGTAGATGTGTCGTGCGCCGGTGTGGTAGGCGCAGACTTCGATGTGGATTGCAACGGAATGTGCCCCTCATCACTATACTAATATGTGCAAATTAACGTGCCACAGGGTCCGGGTACTAATAAATATAAAATAAAATAAAATAAACGGGGTGTAAAATTCCACGTAAAACACACACTGATTGTTCCTATGGCGTCCTATGCGAGAATCGCTCTCCAAGTGCCCATATGCCAAAGACTTATCGTGGAACAAGTTTAACGCAGGGTGGAGTATAATTGGTACTTACTGGTGCTTTCGGAAATGGAAATAGGCGAAAAAACGCAGCCAAAAGCCGACACAACTATATCGGCTAATGGGAAATTTCAATAGAGATAAGGTCCCAGTACGCTTCAAGCTCGCCGTAAGCAAATCCTTTACAACGAACACCGCACTTAAAGAACTAGCGTTACTTCCCAATGAGGTAATGGACCAGAAATCCACGCATCTGTCAAACTAACCCGTCGCCTTCACGATAAATGCATCAGCGAGACCATTCAGCAAGTCGACACTCACACGACAGTACCTAATCAACGAGATCTAAAATTATCGTTCGGTATCACCGAACCTAAAGCAAGGACACAGCTACTATAATAACTACCGTCGCAACCACTTTTCGCACCGCAAGTGCACCTCGTCGTGATCACGAAACTGCAAGCAGTTCATTCTTGAAACTTCACCGTCAACCTCACTGCTACTATCATCAACGTTTCTGAGCTCAAGCACGACACTGCACATTCACCGTACTCATTCAAGAAGGATTAACCAAATAAACCCGGAAAACTAAGAAAAACGTTGGCAACGGTTCCCCCGGGCATTTTAAAAGACTCGTACTGCCTATTCATATCCTGCAAGAAGTCAAGATAATTTTCTACTCAAGATATCCTCCTCCAAAAGCAGGGGTAGGACAGGGCCATAGCCTTCACAAGGCTACAAACCGATTAAATTCCCCACGATGTCACCCAGGGCAGGGTCACGGGAATGCTTTCGAATACGTCCGCGGCCCTGCCAGCGCTAGCTGCTTCAACAGCCCCTCCACAAACCCTCCGCAAACTCTGAAACAACGATAAAGTGCGCCATCCAACTCGGCCTGTTTTGTACAGGTAATCCAAGCCCGCTGACCAGAGGGGTATAGAAGCTAGGTGAGCCACTGCCAACAAGCAGCAAGCCTGTCGGCTCCCGGCGGCGGATCGAATTTGTGTTTCCGCCGCTCAACATCAGGGAGAGAAAGAGGGAACTCTTTTTCCACGATTCCTCCTCAGTTCAAAGATTGATAGACACAGACCTGGGGGGGAAGTCCGGAACTTATCTGCAGCCGGCCCAGTGGAACATCAAGAAGAGCGTCGCTTTTGGCGCCAGGTGTCAAGGGGCGCTATAATAATGAAAAAAAAAAACAATTTTCACATAAAATAAAACGTAGCAGTAGAAACTTTCTAAATGTTAAAGAAGCAGGGGTATAATAACGGCAGCTGTTGATGTTTGCAATAAATTGTATTGAAAAAATTGGTTATTATTATTTATATAAAACAAAAAAGTAAAGTAACAGCCTATACAAATCCCACAACTGGGCAAAGGCTACCTCAGGGAATAGTCTACCACGAGACCCCACTGCGGGTTGACGGACTTCACATATCTTGAATTTTTTTTAAATATTATTTCGAAAATATGTAGGCTTCCTCACGATATTTTCCTTCATCGCTGAGCACGTGATAAGTCAGCACTTATAATTATTAATTATTTCATTGCTGCCGGCACCGGAGATCGAACTCAGACTGCTTGAGTATAATGAATTAATAAGGCCGATTAAAGGGTGCTGAAAGACAGTCTCGTTCTACACTGATCATAGGCTAGGGCCGAAAAAGTTTAGCTGGCTCTAGTTGACTTCCCCACGTTCAAAGGCCCAGTAGTAGTGTACAGGAAATGTAGATTAGAATGAAAGGGCTAGGGCCGGAACTGTTTAGCTGGCTCGAGTTATATAGAGATATTCCCACGTTCAAAACGAATGGTCCAGTAGTATTGCACAAGAAATGTAGATGACAGTGGCCTAGGGTTGGAAAAGTGACATGTATATACTGGCGGATTTACAAAAGTTGTCGAAAAAGGGGTTTCGTTTGTCATTTTCTAGATAATTTTTACAACCCACGATTTAGTGAAGATTATACGATAAATAGTTTTTGGGTTAAAAAAAGCTCATGTTCTAATTATAAGACGGGGTAAGCTACGCCTTAACAATACTGTTATAAAATACTTAAAGCAACAAAAATTTTGGGCCTAATTTCCCGCCCTCTGAATTCTGCCGCCCTAGACTCTTAGCCAGCTTATCCTTCTGGTAAATCCGCCACTGTGTATAGGGCTGTACTTACTTGTGAGAAAAATAATATAAATGGGAGTCAAGTAGTCGATTTTTTCTTGCATTTTTCATTGTGAAAGCAGACATAAACATTGTTGTTTAGGTTTGGCCGTTCACTTCTGTTTGAAGTTGAGTTATCGATGGCGCCATTTAGTACAATGCGCCCACCGATATAACTTCTTTGTTGTTTATTATTGTGTTGAAATAACAGTTGTCCAGTATATGAAAATAGCCCAGAGAACTTAAATATGTAATATGGATCTTAGTGGGCTTATAAATGGAATTGTAATAGAAATTTAAATCTAAATAAAATATTGTACAATATTGTATGTGAATAGTAACATGTAATTGAATTGTAATATATATAATTTACGGGGCCACGCAGCAGCCTCGGCTGTTGCAGGAATGGGCAGGCCCGTCTGGGTAAGTGCCACGACCTCACAGAAGACCAGCGTAAAGTGGAAGTATGACAAATACTTTCGCGTTTCGTCTGGTGAGTGAGGTAGCCGTAGCCCAATTTTCAAAAGGTTGTCAACGCATCTGTAACCCTCGGGTGTGGCAGATATCCATGGGCGGCGGTATTTACTTACCATCAGGTGAACCGTCTGCTCGTTTGGCAACTATTTACATAAAAAAAATTGAATAATAGAATTTGTGTATGATAATCGCATTAAAGCGGATTTATATTGAGTCGATGGATGCAGGTGGCTCAGGATTGTGCTTCGTAGTTAGGGCAGTCTGTGGGGGAGGCCTATGTTCAGCAGTGGACTCAAATAGGCTGAAATGATGATGATCATGATGATATTGAGTTTATAAAGGCAAATCTTGGAAACATTTTCTTGAGTATTGGTACACATGAGGCATAGCACAGTGCAGCGATGCAACGTCAATGTTGACACCTTTACGGTTTACTCGGCTCAGCAATCTAGTGTATCAATCTAGTGGTATCATGGACTACATGATAACATTTGTACTTATTCCATAATGTTAAATATATTGATTTGTTGTTTTAATTTAAACTTACTTTAAACGACATAATAATATCCATTGGAGATAGTATTGCGGATAGTGTACTTTAGATTAATTTCCAGTTGTAGGTAATCCCATTGTCGGTTTGTTTGCTGGAACAATGAAAATCTGGCATTCAGCGACAATCGTGTTGTATAATTTGAATCTAGAGCGCAATGAGCAGTGACATCTATTGAATTTGGAGTTTAAGGCAGGGTAAGCTACGCCTTAACAATACTGTTATAAAATACTGAAAGCATTTCTGTTAAACAAAAATTTTAGGCCCAATTTCCCGCCCTCTGAAATCTGCCGCCCTAGACTCTTAGCCAGCTTAGCCTTCTGGTAAATTCGCCACTGTGATAGTGCACTTTAGATTAATTTCCAGTTGTAAGTAATCCCATTGTCGGTTTGACGGAACAATGAAAATCTGGCATTCAGCGACAATCGGCTTGTATAATTTGAATCTAGAGCGCAATGACCAGTGACATCTATGTAATTTGAAGGTTCTTAATCGATTCTTACTTAGTTTGACATACTTTTTATAAAAAGTAATTTTTAGGTTATATCGCAGTTTTCCCTATATTTTTAGCATTAGGTAATGGTTACAGCACGGATGGGGTGTTTGGCGTCCTGATGTTACCTTTAACCGTCAATTTGAAGGTGTAGTACAATGTTAATATCATTGTACTACACTATCAAAGGACATAAATAAAAAAATCAAAGTACATAAAAATCCTAGTACATTCCAAATAGATATGACTGCACCGAAACAATTGGTGTAATTAGATTGCAATTCTATAGTGTACCATCTCTTTCCGTATCATACGTTCTATATCATCTGTCACATTCACTTATATTATATAAAGTGGAAAAATTTTTACACCACGCGGTATGGACATGCGCCATCTTTATTAAAACATCATTGGTGTTGTATAGTTTAGCTTTCATCTTGATTCCTTACATAAAACATGGCTCACCTGATGGAAAGTGACCACCGCCGCCCACGACATCTGAAACAATGTAGGACTTGCAAATGCGTTGCCTTTTAGGAAGGAATTTCTTTTCTTCTTGAAGTTTCCTAGTTCGTAACGGTTCGGTAAAAGTAAAAAAAATTAAAATGCCTTAAAAATCATGCTGTTGTGGAAGGTCATCGAGGTGGTGTGGATGGAATTTCAGTTCAGATGGAGTTTTGCTGCAATGTCCTATGATGAGATACAGCGGATCAATTAGAACAAGTCCTCGGAACACTCCTCGTGATAAATGTTTTTATCAACCGACTTCAAAAACGGAGGAGGTTCTCAATTCAAGTGTATTTTTTTAATGTTTGTTACTTCAGAACTTTCGACTGAGTGAACCGATGTTGATGATTCTTTTTTTATTTGAAAGCTGGCGCTTCCCATGTAGTCCCATATTAATTTCATTGGCATTGGATCTTGGGCTCCGGAGATACGTGGGGATTTTGAAAATCAATTATAAGATGAATACAGAGCGAGACATTTGAAGTTGGTTTTATTTTTCGTTAATAAAAAAGTTTACTTGTTGTGTTACTAAACTCTCAGGCCGTGTAATATTTAACAGACATCATAAAAGTAGGTTCGCAATTCGATTGTATTTTTATTATATTTCTTACATTAGATCTCCGTTTTTTTCATTTCTATTCATTCCGTTTTGTAATCGGGGGTTAATTGAGTGGTTACCGCCGCCCATGAACAGTGAAGAGCCTTGGGCTGACCAAGTGCGTTTACTATCTACGGCTGCATCGCTGCTTACTATCAGGTGGGGTGCTTGCTATCAGATTAAAAAAAATGGTTTAATGATATGTAGTTTGTTGTTAGCCCGACGGCTTTGATAGCTTCGGCGGAAGAGGTTGGTATCAAATAAGGTCAAATATTCAATTGTTTGTTTTGTGGAGTGCGCTGAAGCGTTGTTGTAGCCAAGGAGGATCCTGCTTTGAGGACGCTGCTCTCGAACATTTTTCAAAACAACAAGCAAACAACAGTTAACATGCCAGTCTGCGGTAACTGTCCTACCATCCTCCAGCACAACTATCGCGAAATGACCTTTCCGACCAAAGAACTCGTTCTTCAAATTATTTTTTATCCTTGACCTCTTCCTTTCTTTACTTTAATTGGCCGTTCCTCGAAAGGGAACACCCTCTGAGTAGATTGTCTTTTAGTGTCGGGTTCGTAGCAATGCATCCAGCTTTCATCAAATGTAACGAAGTGAAATACAGCATTATTGTTCTCTCCGTTGAACTTTTCTAATATTTTGCGACACCGTCAATCCATAAAAACAAACAAATTAATGCAATATATCACATTAGGTTACCATTACCAAAGTGGTTAACACTTAAAAGAAGTGGTCATTTTCAAAGTTTTCAAAAACTCCATGAGAAGGCGTTTGTGCTCTTTGGTCAAAATATGGGGAATCCATCTGATACAAAGCTACCTGATGTTAAGTGAAGAAAGTAACCGCCACTCATGGAAATCTACACTCAAGAGTTCCAGATGCGTTGACAACCTTTTGAAAATTGGCTACCTCACTCACCAGACGAAACGCGAAAGTATTATACTTCCACTTTACTCCGGTTTTCTGTGAGGTCGTGGTACTTACCCGGACGAGCTTACCTATTCGTGCAACAGCCGATGCTGCTGCTTGGCCATACCACCGTAAAATGGAGCGTCTTAACAATGGAGCGCATACGATTTGCATTGGAACCAATATAAATTTCTGCTAATGCGTTATGCTAATACTTTGAAACTATAATTGTTTTATTTTGGGAGCATTCTGCGTAAATTTAAATTGCGTAGCAGATTGCATTAGTAAAATACAAGAAATAAAAACCCTATAGTAAGTATAAATTCAAAAAATAAAAAAGAATGTAACTGTTTTCGAGCCACCATATTATCGTAACCAAACATCGTTATTGATGTAGCGTTAGAAGCAAAAAAAGCTCCCGTTTAGTCTATTATCCTTTTTTACCCGACGGTTCATTGCATTTAAATTTTAATAATCGTTACGTGAATTGAGCACGGGTAAAAGGATCGGCAAAGTATACGAAGCGCGTGAAGGCGGCTCCGGGCGTTATCTTAATCGTCTGGCGTTTTAAGCGTATTTATGTGGCCGGTAATAAGTTATCACAGGCCTAATTACGGCCGCGAAACCACCTGTCCGCTATCATCTGTACATAGGCCTCCGCATATACTTCCGTGCGTCTTACGCGCGGGCCCTCCCCCGCCGCGGGATTGGTCGGCGGCGGTGGTGCGCGCGCAGCGGCCCTCCTCGATGCCGGCGCGAGACGGTGAGATTCCACAGAAGCCGGTCGTCGCAATGTGCGGCCGCGGACAGTGTCGCCGCGACCACGCCGCCACGCTGTCACAGCTGACGCACCGCCGCGCACCAACTATACACGCGTCCGACCAGTCCGGGAGAGTCACAACTTTTGCTTGCGACTGAGTTTCCGAAAGTTATGTAGGACTGCGACGGCGCCGATTTAGTTTCGGTTTTAGGTGTTCGGTAGATTGCGGACCGAGCTCGAAGTTGGTGATGTGCGATGGGTAAACGCGAGGGAGGAAGGCAGGCGCTGGCGGCTTGCGCGTGGGCTTGCGCGCTGCTTGCTGTCGCCGCGGCGGATGCGCACCCCGACGTAGACACCTCCACCGGTCTCGGTGACAACACACTCACTAATTCTGGTAATTAGCTGCGATTAATCCATTTATGGCTGTTTACTTAGACGGGCCATTCTAAAAACTGAGAAGTCTAGACGTAATTTTGTAATTTGACGACCAGATTGACGCAGTGGGTAGTCACCCTTTTGGCCCAAAGGATGTGGGTTCGATTCCCTACTCCAAAAATATTGTGTGATGATCATAGTGTGTTTCCAGTGTCTGGGTGTTTATGTATGGATAATAGGTATGCATTTATACAACTACAAAATAAAAATATGTTTAAATATGATTGTCAGTTATCTAGTACCCATAATACAAGCGTTGCTTAGTTTGGGACTAGTTAGCATTGTGTAAAAGTGTGTCCTAAATATTAATAAAAAAAAATGTTAACAGGATAATATGTAAAAAAGTACAATGTAAACGTGTATGTTTCGATTAAGCTATGTATTTAAGTAATAAATATTCAAAACATTTTTATATTTGTAATAAATATACAAATATTTTTAGTCAAGTAATTGTATGGGGGAGGCCTATGTTCAGCAGTGGACTCAAACAGGCTGAAATGATGATGATGATGATGAATTGCAATCATATGTTGTATTAATTGATGCCATTAGAAACTTATTTATTTAACAATGTTTTAATTTTTCAAGTTATGTCCATATGAAGTGTAATAGATCAAATGAAGTTTTGATAAATAGTTAAATTTTTTAAAATGTAAATAAGTAAACGAAAGTATGTAAAGTATAATATCTATGTTTAAAATTTTAACACTAGTATAAAGTTTTTACAAGATTAATATATCAATTAATATTATTAAATATTATTATTCAATTAATATTATTTTACGTGGGCTGGTTTCCGTTGAAAGCCAGCGTGAACTAAAAATTTTTTTTCTTATTTTTAACGGAAAAATGTGCGATACTTTTGTATCGAGGAATTTAGGTTAAATAATTCACATGCAAAAATACCAATTTTTATAGGTTTTGTGAAAGAGAGATAAGAATTTGATCTAGTATTTCTTTAAATATCATATATGGGTATTAAACTGCTATTAGCATACTTCCGCATAGCACTTATAAAAATAGAACATGTAGGTTATGGGAACAAAATTGGTAATGGTAATAAGGCTTTTTAAAATTAGGAATAAATGTACCTACTACGTACACAAAAAAGGTAATAGAGTAAATGTTTTAGTAAATTATTTGCTTACTTGTAAAGATGTTGCTATGATGAAAGTAAATAACTAGTTGTATACGGTTAAATATTTTTGAATTAAATTTATACGTGTTGTATTACACTTGTCACATATGAATTAAAAGTTTTAACGCTCCTGTCTGTTAAATCTTGTAGGTGTTGTTTCTTATCCATAAATTGCCTTCTTCGAACCGGCGGCGTTGAGCGCTGCTCTTAGATTTACGACGGCTTTTAAATTTCAAAGCTGACTAGTTGTTTTACTGTCTTGGATATCGCATTAAATCGTTGGTAAGCTTTTCTTCTTCAAATTTAAATCTTAACACCGCCGTTTTGTCAATGTGCTTGACGAACTTTTGTATTTTTTTTTAAGAATATTTTAAATAATTGTGTATATTCTAATAATTATTTTCATCGATGTGAATATTAAAATTTCAGAAAGAGCCGTCTGCTCTGAAGACTGTGTATTGCAATTTACCATACAATTTAATCAACGAAGTAGTTTATTTCAATCTTCTCCCAAAACTCTTCATCTAATATATTTGGCACCAGCAAAATTATTATATGCAATACCTAACTGAACATATTTTGGAATTCCCACTGAAAGTTCTTCTTAAATGTTATTTGTGTTACATAGTGCTTTATATTAAATTTATTATTTTTCGTTGCTGTTGTTTAGAATTGATATAGCATACGGTATTACTTGTTTAAAACATAAGCATTGTATCTTCCAATCGATTCACACAGGGAGCAACACAGAACAATGTTCCATTTCAAACCTGATGGCAGCTGAGGTTAACTGAGATATCGCCCGGTTTCTGCCAAAAAGATGGTTTAACTCATTGAATTGATCATTTCGATTCATAATTAAGAAGATCATTCTGGTCAATTCAGTGAGTTTAACCATCCTTTTGGCAGCTAAAATGAAATTTGAAAAGCCATTTGACCGCTCATTAGTTGACATCTGCAATGATCAGTGTTTCAGAAACCGGGCGTAAGTCTTCAAACACCTCCACCAATGTAAGAGATCAATCGTCTTGCCCTACTGAGCTGGGAAGTCCCGTCGAAAGTATTTTAACACCCAATTAAAGTTTTAATTAGTCCCTTATTAACATCTTATTAGTATCATCTCTTGGCATGTAAGAAATGGATATGTGGTAAATTTATGGACAGGTAACAATTATCAAATATGAAAGTTTTTTAGACTTCAAAGTCTGTAGGGCTATTGTTAAGTCACTAAACTGCGAGTTTTATTCATAAAGACATGTTTGAATCGGATATGAGTGTTGAATACACATTGCTAATATCTGAAAGTATTTATTTTGGCAACAATACTAATTTCATTGTTTTTCTATATTGCGAGCCCATTCTATACATATTTAAGGGTTTTAACTAAAAAATTGATGTAAAAATATAAATTATGTCTCTAACGATAATATACCGATAATACGAGTGATACCTCAGGATCTACCAGTGGTATTAACGTTATTTCGAGTTTTGACCGACGATTCAAATATTTAACACAATAAAAGATATATTTTTAAAAACCATCAATAATATAATTACACTGTGGGCGGTGACAAAATAAACCAACACCTATTTTCAACAGTGTACGAGTATAATTAGGAAAAAAAAAGGCAGTACCTATAAGTAGGAAGAAGTAAAATAAGGATATGAATCGTCTATTGTAATTTAGCTAAATTTAGGTGACTTGGTGTCCTGGAACTCATGTTTAATGTTTAATATTCTTTAACGTTCAAGGTTCAGAATCTATATCGGAAGTATACTCCTTATCGTCAATATTAAATGGTTAAATGCAATTTTACTACATGATTTGTATTGATACAATTCTAAATCAAAATGTAACTAAAACATATTTTAATGCTGTAAGAAATCATTGTCTTATATACAGACGATATAAAAATAAACTCATTATCATAATTCACTAACTTTTATTATTATTTTAATACACAAATATTTTGATTTGTGCCTTTAGATTTTAATGTGCATTTATGATAGAGCGATGCAGTAGATTCTGCTCTTGCGTGACTAAAGACCCATTTACACGGTGCAAGTTTCTTGCCTGTTGTATACAATTAAATTGAAGCAATAAATGAGTTGCATGGTCTAAACAACAACTGGTCTAACAAATTATTGCGCGCAATTTATTGCATTCAATTATTGCTCTTGTATGTACAAGAAAATGGCATCGTGTAAATGGGCCTTTATTCAGTTCGTTGGCGACCTCATTGAAGACTGGGGAAAAATATAAATATTTAATATATTTAGTAAAATAAAAGTTATATTAAGTGGAATAAAACACTTTTTCATCTTGTTCTTTTTTATTTTGTAAAAATGGCAAACGAGCTGGTTCACTTGATGTTAAGTGATAACCGCTGCCCATGGACATTTGCTACACCTTTAGGGTTGCAAATGCATAGTCACCTTTAAATATAGTGTGCCCCGGCTACCTCACTCATCAGACGAAACGCGAAAGTGTAAAACACTTCTACTGTAGGCCGATCTTCTGTAAGGTCGTGGTACTTACCCGGACGGACCTGCCCATTCGTGCAACAGTGAAAACTGTTGCGTGGCCCTTCCACAGTTGTTGGTTAGCCAACCTCGGTAAAAGGTTAGCAACACAACCTCATGGGTACTGTCGATTATCTAAAGATGTGATTAACTCGATATCAGCTAAAATAGCTGCCCTGCCAAAAGTTTTTTTTTCATGCGTAGTGAATATTGAATCGACGAGTACCACAAGTATGATGGTTCTAGACTCATGCTCCTACAAAGTCACGTTGTAGAGGCGAATCCTCTATCGACTTGACAAATCCTTCCTCGTTGTTCATTTTGTTTTCTGATTATCACAATCTACGAAAGGATACGAACTATCCTGTACAAAGTAACACAATGGTCATCCGGATTGCGCCTAAATGACACAGGCAGAATCGCATAATAACAACCATTTCTGGTGAAGCGCTTCACCGTTATGTTACACAGACATATAGCGATACCAGTAATTTGGCTAGTCATAAATTACACGTTTAACTGAATTACGCGCGCTGAAAGCATTCCGCCACTGCCGAATGCGAACCATTTTCATTCCCCTGCAACTCTCGCGCGGCCACTGATATGTAGGCATTCGACGCACTTCGTAAATGAGCTTTGAATCAATGAAATTTAATTACCGGGTCGTTCGCCATGAAAATGTCATTTGATCGTTACGTTTGTGACCTGAGTGCTGTTTGGGAATGAAAGCTGTTTATCATTTCTATTTTTTTATGTCAGTCACCCTGGAGATCTAACACAGTAATAAATTGCTTAAAAAACTTTCCATAGAGTCAATAGCAATGCGGTCACATTATAATAAATATTCAAATATCTCAGGTTTTTAATCCTTATGAGATAGACAAGAATAATTTATGCTTTTACAAAACTTCAATTCAATTACAATTACAAAACTTATTCAAGTTCCAAACTCATTAGGTATCACGCTGCGCTTGTCATGAGGCAGTTGTTTTTGTAAATGAAAAAATGTTCATGTATTCCATCATGGAAATCTTACATCGCAATCCTGTTCCCCACCCA